ACTTTGTTTCAAATGGGTGCTACAGCAAAATTCACGGTTTTCTGGATTTGGGCTCTTAGTGCGCCATCTATTACAAAATAACGAAAGCATGTTTTGAGCTCGCGGTTGCGTGGATTTGTAGTAGACACTATCTGCTACTTATGGTAAAATCGCCAAGGTTAAGTAATCTGTGGTTACTGAGTTAGAAGAGTTTAAAGTTGGCAAGTTTTCAAGATGGCGGAATCTACGTTTTTCAGGGCTTTTCGTACAATATCAATATCTCAGCAACGATACAACTTTTTGATTTACGCCTTTTACCTAAATTCCTTAAAATGTTTGGTCTACAAAAACCCCTACTTTGGAAAAGTTTCGAGAACGTCGATTGACGAACGTCGGTATTGAAGAACTCATCCTTTGAAACTATACTGGCTCTACCAATATTTTATTTGTCCCTCGTTAAAGACAGCGTCCAGCACTGTATTAAGATCTATCTTTTCTCTAAAGCTTATCGCCCATCTTATTTTATCAAATAACATTGAAACAATGACCATGTCAAGAGTTAAAGAACAAAAACACCGTTGGGGTGGTGCAGATCGGGTGAAACCAAAACGACACCCAACTTATGCCGAAATGGTGAAATCAGCACTTGTTTCACTGAATAATCGTGCTAGTTCGTCGATTCAAACGATAATGAAATACATTTTGACTAAATATTTATTAAATGCCACACCAGCGAAAAAGTATTGTACAAAAGCATTGACAAATGGTGTGACCAAAGATGTTTTTCATCAAACAAGAAGTGAAGATTTTTAGAAGTTCTGATTGTGTCCTATTTTAATTTCGACTGTTGTACTTAGGTCATGGTGTCAGAGGTTATCGACCTGGAAAAGCTGCATTAAATAACAGTGGAAATAAAAAAGCGAAATTATCAATAAAAAACTATACGGTTTTAGCAAAAAGATCGCCTCTAACACAAGCTGCGACTATATCATCGAAAGGTAAAAAAAGTAAGCGGTTTTTCATACAGAGTTCTATTCTTAATTTCTCGAAAAAATTCATTTGTACCTTTTACACTTGATAAAATCGTTAAGAGAAGATTTGTTTTTGTGTTCTCTAACGTTTTTTTATCCTATTATAGCTGTTCAGTCGAAAACAAGAGCTTCGTCGATAAAGGAATCAAGTGGTTCTACTCAACCAACAGAAAAAAAAAATTTCAACAAAAGTTGCCGCTTCATCATTAAAAGGTTAATTAAACATCAACACCAAGGTGTAAGAGCACCACCTAGTACAGCTGCTTTTTTCTCGTTTGCTTTTTTTGGTTTTGGAGAGATGTTTAGTTCAAAGGTATTGAAAGTAATTTGCCTTTGGACGTTTAGAATAGCTATCACACAGTAAACTCTTATTGCTCTTATGCTAGAATCAGAACAGATTAAACATTACGTATAAGTACAGTGAGCGTCAATAGGTTTTCTCTATTAGTATTTTTCACTTTTCATCACTATTTTCTATCCTATGTCCAAAACCAAACCCATAGAAAGAAAGCGCAGATTCGACTGTATCTTTTGATATAGGACAGTCATGGATCAAATAGAAATCGAAACGAGAAAAACGCATCAAAAGAAAATATAGTATTATTTTCCACTACAGAGTTGTGCACAACTTTCGCTAGAAAAATAGTCCTAGAATATCAAAGACGATATCTGATGAATTTTATACCAAATGGAAGCCCGTGAAAAGTTGCATCTAGGACTACAGTTAGCAACCCAATAGATTCAGCCTTTCACGGGCTTTCATTTGGTATAAAATTCATCAGGTATCGTCTCTGATATTCTAGGACTATTTTTCTAGCGAAAGTTATGCACAACTCTGTAGTGGAAAATAATACTATATTTTCTTTTGATGCGTTTTTTCCGTTTCGATTTCTATTTGATCCATGACTGTCCTATATTAAAAGATGCAGTCGAATCTGCGCTTTCTTTCTATGGGTTTGGTTTTGGACATAGGATAGAAAATAGTGAAGAAAAGTGAAAAATACTAATAGGGGAAAACCTATTAGTATCACTGTATTTGGTAGCACTTGAAAGTATCCTTACTCTCCCGCTCCACCATCTGTCTTCTTTTAGAGTTGCTAAACCAAACATAGAAGATGCATCGGCAACAAAGTCACACCACGCTGCCATTAACTTCGCCAACGGCAAAAGAAAACAGTAGCTGGACAAAAACACCAGCCTCACGAATGCAAAATATCAAAAGTCATCTTTGTACATAATCTGTCTAGAACTGACGTTTTTTACTCTGTTTTCTTTTTTCTTCGTGTGTTGTGTACAGATATATTTTGGTATGACCAAAATAATTTTCTTTATGAAAAAAGAGTTTTTCTTTTATTTATAGCGTTCATTTTTTGTCTGTTTTTCATGTAAAAAAAATTGTTGAAATTAGGTAAACAAGAGTGAATAGGAAGAAACTTGCAATGCACTTCAGTGTGTGACGAAAGGTAAATTAGAAGAAGAGAAGTCTTCTAGTTATTTGAAAGACAACAACTAATTTTCGAAAAGAGCAGTGAAAAAGGAGCCGTCAGGAAAGATAAAAGCCAAACGTTTTCGCTAAGAGTTAAAGCTTTGCTCTGAAAAAAGGAAACAGTCTGCAAATCAACAAAAATGCTGCATGCAGAAGCAAAACAGATTATCTGTTTTGATTAGTTCTGAAATAATACTTTGCCACGCTAAGTTGCTCATCAAAACGTCAATGCTGAGAAAAAAACGACGACACTGAACATGACATGTGCAAGAGAAAGATATTACAGTACTAACTGGGGAAGTTTGTATATAGATCAGTGCTATTTTTGACCGGACCATATAAGATTACACAGTAATTGGATATCAATAGTGTAGAATGAGTAAAACAATGTTTCGCAAAGTGGTTTTCAGATTTTTCACGGTCAGTAAACATGAAACTCCTATTGTGTAATATTTATTTTAAGCATCGCATGGTTTAGCTGACGTACATTCAGGTGGGATAGTGAATACACTTGAAGGTGGGCGCTCAAGTGAGTAATTGCTAAAAAACTGACTTGCAAAACCAGTTACAGCACTGAAAAAAAATTGTGATGGTACACAAGATGGGAACTTGCATGTGTCCAAGAAAAACGAATACCCAAACGGGGTTGTTGGATCAGCTATCCCCCACCAAACAACTGGTCGTTCAGCTCCAGAATCATCGATAAATATACCCGTACCATTATATTTTACTCCTTTTCCCGGTTGAAGAAAATCAGGTGCCGGTGGATTCCAAGGATTTTGATAAATACAACATGGTGGACGTTTTGTTTGACGAGCATCGGTTACAATAATATAAGCAATACTGTCCACATTTAGAAGATTGCACGTAAAATTAGTATCAGTTTGAAAAACTGGTATACAGTAGTCTTTGTAAATCTCGATCATAGCTCTCGTAGGCCAGTCATAGTACGTAGTTCCTTGTCCTAGCGTTACATTTTGTTTCGGAATTGATTCATATGGTGGAAGTTGAATATTATCATATACGTGCGCCATTATCCAATCATAGCTAAAATAAGGCGGCCACATTGGTATATTGGTGGTCAAGACAGATTGTGTTATTATTAACGAAAATAGAATGATTAAATTCATGTTGGAAGTTGTATTGAGTGAAAGTATATTGAGATTCTGATGGTTAACCTCAGCTTGTTGTTTCGGTGTTTATAGCCATATGTTCCCGTTCTCATTGTGGTTTTACATGTGGCATAACTCAAAAGCATCCTTGAAACATTCTGTTGTTGAAAAAATATTCTGATTTATATTTTACGTAAGACATACTGAAATGTTAGGCAAAATTGTCTTTATTTATGGTCTATAGGAGAACCAGTAGCGCATGTAGAATCATTTTTTCCAGTCAACTTTTAATGTATTCTTATTCAGCACGATGATATGATGATGATGTTCATATGAATATGATAATAATAAACATATGTGTGAAACGATCTTAAACTGAATACATCTTTTATCCGCCAAAATCTGTTTCTTCGTCTGCTATCCTCTTGATTCGTCCCTAATGGCTTTGCAGATCAAACAACATCAAAGGTGCCATCAAAAGTGAGAGTGAGCATTAGGGGTGAATCGAGAGTAAACCACCTGTACACTCTGAAAAAAATCCGGCTTATGTTATCCGTCTTTCCTATGTTCGTCCGTCTTATTTCTTTTCATCCATCTTATTTTAAGATGCTTGTTCCTGCACACCGTCCTTCCATTTGATCTCTATGATTGACGCAAAAATCATTCATCTCTTTTCTTTTGCCACCTAACCCTTATATATAATATTGAACAATGATCTCTTCGAAAAAACGTGTGAATTTGCTTTGGTTTCTTACTGAAACCATTCATATGATCAGTATCAGAGATGCAGAATATACCCGTTTACTCCGATATCCGACAGACTGTGGTCAAAATATTTCTGTGCAAGAAATGAATGGCTTATATTTCTTGCCGTAAGAAATAGCAAGAAAGTCTTTAGTGTCATTTCTTGGGCCAAGAAACACACTCTTAAAAACTGAAAAGTCAATGAAAATTTTGTTCTTCATTTGTCCCCAATAGGAAGATTCAAATTCTGTTCTTTAGCTCTCAAGAACTCAAATTTTGTTCTTTAATTTTCTACAAAATTGAAGAACACAGTTTTTGAAAGAAATGGCAAGAAACACTTCTTGCACAAAAAATGTCCCAAGATCTAGCTTTCTCTGTATCAAGAACTTCCTTTACGGATATTTCAGATAGATTAATATCCTTTCCGATTTTGAACATTTTTTTATTATATCGATTAGCATATAATCATACAAGTTTAATTATGCTATTTAATTAATTCAATTTACTTTTAATAATTTGAATCAATTCATGACATCTTCCGCCACTAGCAACACTTCCAACAGCGACTTGATCTTTCCCCAGCGATGGATCATACTTGTATTCAGTGAAAACAGCTTCAAATATAACACCGATATAATAATCAAGATCAGGAGCTAATTTCAAGTCAAAGACAATCTAAACATAAAGTAGTTTGAAAAAAACATTGCACCGAAGTAATACACACAAGATCTGTGCTTCTCGTACTTTATCCATAACATCATACAATTATAAATAACAAAACAATAATTTTAAATCATTTAACGCCTCCTGGGCATTTTTTGTTTCGCTATCAAATCTGCATTACCTGAATCATTCAGGTATTATTTTCATATGCTGTAGTACAGCATATAAAAATAAACATAAATTCGCATCTTGTGCTGTCTATAACTTATCGCGCATTTTCAACCAGCATTGTTATCATCACCTATTCAAGCCAGAATTAAGTTCTTAACTTGAGTCGACTGCATGATGCCAAAGATTTGCCCTTATTCGCAAGAAAACCGAATATGGGCAAATGAAATATTTAACTGACATCTATTGCCGTGATGTCGCACATGGATGACAAATACCATTTTTACTCCCTTGGAAATCAGTTGTAACGCTCTTACGCTATTCTCAAAATGACTTTGAATCTCACCAAGAACACTTCTTGCTTCATTGGGTGAATCAAGAATAAACAAATATTAAGGCATTAAAACAGTTTTTCAATGGTTGCAACTCCGCAATGAATACGCTTTTCCTCCTATATATTCTTACTTACTCAACTTTGTCAGTCTAATAGAAAAAAACCCGTCATTAAGGATATATATCCTTGCTTGCTCAATTTTTGTCAGTATAATAGAAACGCATCGTTAAAGATAAAAGCGGGCACTCTACATTTAGGATTATTCTCTTTTTCTACATGAACTATTTCCCTCTTTAGAACTTCTGACTTAGGTAACATCCATTGGCTTGTCTACGCGTTTATTTTGGCTCAGCAGTAGTTAATAGCAGATTTAGAGCTTCGTAAATGACTGAGATGGGCTCTAGTATGTGGAGAAATGATGGAGTAATATTAAAAAACTGATCAAGATTAGTTTGCTTTAGAGATAAAATATTTTTTTAATTTGTGATTTCCGCATTTCTAGATTGTGCTCTGTAATTTTCTGATTATGGATGATGAAGCTGAAACCTATAAATTATGGCGTATAAGAAAAACTGTCTTACAGGTATGAGATTGAAATCTCTCCTTTGGTAATTCCTATGCAAATTTAAAATTTCGCGTTGTTTTAGATGTGTCATGACCGAGGGTATTTAGTCAGCCAGGATGAACTAGATCAATCATTAGAACAATTTAAAGGAGTTTTCGGTGATAAACCAAGGTACATTACGTGCTATTGCAAATAGCAAATAAATATATTTTACTTCATATTTAGTGAAGGTAAACCTGCTCGTTCTCAATTGATTGTTATGGTTGCACATAATGATGATCCAACGGATACGTTAATTGTTCAATTTCCTGATAATCCAAAAATTGGTGTTGATCCGATTAAAGGTTTTTTTAAAAAAATGCAAGGAGATGCAAAAAATGCCAGAATACCACATTCAATATTAGTTGTACAGATTGGCTTAACACCAGCAGCCAGAGAAGTAGGAAAACATTACATTGAGAATATGTTATTGAACAAAATATCGAATACTTTCTGTTACCCAGAATAAGGATTCCGCTTGCTTTTTTGCCTAGGGAGGATTTAAAATTTGAGTAGAAACTGATGGGAAAAAATTCTGTGGAACGTATTCAACAAGGAATTTGTTGAAACTTAACTAACTGATATACCTTGCCCACCCTCCTTACTGATTAGAATCGCTGACCCAGAAATCGTTTCGTTGTACAGTTATTTTACCGTAATCTTAACAAATAGATAGCTCAATATTCTTTCGTTTGTTTTTGTTTCAGTTAATTGGTGAATTACAAAATAAAAAATTTTCATTTGAAGTATTTTTGGAAAGTGAATTGTTAATTAATATCACCGAACACCACGTGCGTTTTATCTGTGATTTATGTGTCGATAATCGATAAGTCTCTGTTAATTTTTAGCTTGTACCAAAACATGTTATTTTAACTCCAGAAGAGAAACAAGAATTGTTGAATCGATAGTATCCTTTTATAATATTTATTTACTTTAATACTGCAAAATATAAATAAGACATCTTGCAAAAAAATCAGAATAATGAGAAATCCACAATAACTCATATCCGGATTTTGTAAACTTGTGTTTATTGTCTAAATATTACTGAAAACGTTCTGAAATACATGTCCCGCTATGAGATACTATAGATTCCTCATTATTCTGCTTTTTACCGTGAATATGCCATTTGAAAACCATTTTGCCAAGAATAGTTTGCGTATGGATAAAACGTGATTAATTAAGCAAAATGTCAATCTGTGCTAGGCTCTTATTGTACGTAATTAACTAAATACTTTTCTTTGACCGTTTATTTATTTGTAAAGTCGATTAAAAGAATCTCAGCTTCCAAGAATTCAAGTTGGTGATCCAGTAGCACGATATTTTGGTTTAAAACGTGGCAATGTAAGCGTTTTTCTGTCTTCGTGTCAATATCAGATAATAATTTTTCAAATGTCATTTTTAGGTTGTTCGAATTACAAGAACGTCCGAAACAGCTGGACGATACATAACTTATAGACTCGTTACTTAAATGAATGATTTTGTCTATCAGTTGTTAATTAAGAATTCAACTAAAGCAATGTATTATCATTGTTTGTTTTCTTTTCATTTGTATAAATTTCATTTGCAATAAACAGATGTTGTGATTATATAGACGTTTATTTTAGTTTACTCTATTTTTGCTGTAGGATTGCTTTGCTTTTACTTGAGAAGTTGCTTAAGTGAGTTCAGAACGACTTTTTATTTATTCTTTTTAGCCCATCCAAAGTTGTTTAAGTCTTTCAACAGTATTTACAACTGTTAGTTCACCGTGACTCTTTTAAAAAAAATTAAGTTTTATTTGCACAAACATCCGTATTTGAAATTCGTTTGTGTGATCATATTCTTATAGAAGAGTGCTTCTAAATTAATTGAAATAATAGTTAATCGATTATTGTGATTTTTATAATTAATTATACTGGAAGGCGCGTTAGTCATGTTTAAACAACTACTTTACTTTTTTTCGATATACGCTTTTTTTTCTCTTTTCACTACTTATTTTTCTAAAATCGAATGGACCCATTTATTTTAACCCGAAATGCATTCGGTATCTGTTATGACGGGATTATCGACAATAGATATGACAATGATATCTCAAACCTCGAGATAATAAAGAAAAAATTGTCAGCAGTAAAGATTAATAATGAACAAACTGAACTATCACCATTCTCATCAACTCAATACCAACTTTCACCACAATTTCTAGCTCATCAAGCTCAAAATCAATCAGCACAACCGCGACAATTTTCCGCCTTTACTTTAGGAACTAAATGCCAAGTACCTCAATCACCGTTCTTCTTTTTGCCCTCATATGAATTACATACATGTGATAATCAACTATCCGATAAATATCAACGTTCGTTAGTCAATATATCGTCAACTACTTTGGATAACGTTCCTCAAAATGAAGAAACAACAAAAAGAAAAAATTTTGTAACCAATTTAAAATACCGTTATGATCGTTTTCTGCATACACTCAATAAACTCCAACTTTCGTTCGATGAGATATTTAGAGATTATATTTACGACGAAGAAAAACATGGCAAAGAAATTTTTCTTAAAAAACAAATTAGTTCAACATCTGGGATAAGTCTAGACAATGCAATCACATTATCATCATTTCAACAAATGCCAGCACAACAAGATAGTCCACTATTTTTAACCAATAAAAATACCAAAACAAGTAGTATGATGGTTAAAATAAATGAAAAGAGAAAAAAATTAAAAAACAAAAAAGATCATGCCAGAAAAATGCCTAAAATACGTGTGACTGTATCATGTCTTCAACATAAAAAACAAAAGTATCCAAATGTTAAAATGCGTTAAACACCGCAAGTTCGCCATACTACAAACGATTTATGTGTATGTTACATTCAAATCAATCATTTGGAAAACATACATGCTTTGCTATGATTTTGCTGTACTGCCTTATTTTATCTATTGTTTATTATAAATAGTACCAGTTGTTTTGTTACCTATGGACAAGCTATCAGAAATTGGAATTGTGATAAACTTATGTATTGAAAGCGTATGATATAAAATTATATGAGAGATGTACAAATCAATTATTATTTCAGTTTGCTATTTTAGATGTAAAATAATATTAAAATATGTCTGTCAAATATTCGAGAACACATTGATCATACTCCAGATATGTATAATCGAAAATTTTGAAGAATTAGATCGTTGTCAGTCTGATTTCAGGGATGAATTTTTAATTTAATTATAATAGTCATCATGAATTGTTAGTACAAGATTTGATGGATAAATACGAGACGTGTCTTTGAATGCTCAAAGATTTATCGAATAAAGGAAGAAAAAAACTAGTGAACGTCATGAAAACTTATTAAAAATGTCATGATGAATTTTATCAATAAAGTTACACAATAAAAATTTAGATAAAAAGTATAGCGAACAGAGGACAAAAATAAAAAATTGACGTTAACTAAAACAATAGTCGATGCTTCAAAATAGGAGAAACGTGTTTTTTAGATCTATTTTCTATTTATAATATAAACTTTTGGTAGGTATTTGCTAGGATTTTGGCGAGAGGTGGACATTTAAATAAAGTTCACTTTCTCTAGTACAAGTTTTTTTTTATGTTGAAGTGTACACTTTGTTTTACATTTTTCCGCTCCTATTTTTGTGTTGACTTTGAATCTATTAGTCGACTACTGTTTTGTGTTAATATTGTAGAGATAAAGAAGAAAGAAGTTAAAAGATGAGAAAAAAATGATAATCATTTCAGCGCTATTTACAACAAACAATTTATTTAATCTTTAAAAGTTCAGAAGAGGTACTTACAATAAAATCTCAGAGAGTGGATCCGCGCTCGATGCGTCCGCTTCCAGACTACTCGTCTGTCTCTTTGATTGTAGGAGAAGCTTTACTCATTTTCAAAATGTACTCCTCACTTCTTGCTGTACGAATATTGTAATAACGAGAAAAATGACTTGTGTTTAATGTCAGATGTTGTTCTCATATTGTTCATTATAGTTAATGATGATAATTGATCGATAAATAATTCATAAATTTTTTGTAGATTGATTTATGACTTAAAATATGGCCTATAATCCAAAAGTGAACGGTAGTTTCCGTAAACAACAACAATATCATGAAGATAAACCAAAAATAAAAAATTTTACTCCACGTGTACCACAATGGCAAAAAATTGATGAAGAAATTAGTGAATTAACGGCTAAATACAATAAGGTTAGAATGAATTTGACTGATCTTTGATTTAAAATACTATTTTATTAACTCTTTTAGATTGATCCGTCATCGATTGAATCGTTTACAGATTTTCCACTGAGTAGAAAAACATTGAATGGTATTTGTGGTATATATTTTTATTTTTATTTTGGTTTGAAAAAATGTTTATTGTTTAGGATTAAAAAATTGTGGATATTCAGCACCAACCGATATTCAGCGTGAAGCTATTGGAGTTTCATTACAAGGTAGTAAATAATACCAGTTAGATAGATTAAAGACCGTAATATTTAATAACCAATTACTATTTTCTTTATATAGGACGTGATGTGCTTGGTGCAGCTAAAACTGGCAGTGGAAAAACATTAGCATTTCTTATACCAGTATGTATTTGCGCACAATTCATAAACGATTTAAAAAAAATACTTTTCTCTTTCTCAGATTCTCGAATGTTTATATCGTTCAAAATGGACATTAAATGACGGTCTTGGTGTTTTAATTATATCTCCAACGCGTGAATTAGCTTATCAAACATTTGAAATATTGAAAAAAATTGGTCAATATCATGATTTTTCAGCCGGACTCATTATTGGTGGAAAGGTTAGGTAAAAGGAGATATAGGTTGACATAGATAATAGGATCTTATTAACATTAAAAGACGTATTTATATAGGATTTGAGAGATGAACGAGATCGTATTAGTCGAACGAATATTATCGTTTGCACACCAGGGCGATTACTTCAACATTTAGATGAAACATCAAATTTCAATTGTGACAATTTGAAAATGTTTGGTAGGATAAATGAAAGTACGCAATCGATAACAGATTTTACTTTCTATATTGTTGTTTCAGTTTTGGATGAAGCTGATAGAATACTTGATATGGGTTTTGCTGATACAATGAAATCGATTATTGAAAATTTACCAAGTGAAAGACAAACACTCTTATTCTCAGCTACTCAAACAAGGTTTATATTTCATAGAGTTTCTTTTCGCGTAGATTGCTTTATTGAACATAGTTATTTAGATCTGTTCGAGATTTGGCATTACTCAGTTTAACAAAACCAGTGTACGTGTCCGTTCATGAGAATTCTCTTACAAGTACACCAGCGACACTTACTCAGGTACAACACACAACTCCCCTATCTCTCTGTATTGTTTTGTTTTCTATCTATAAATATATCAGAGTATACTGGCAATTTCATTTTTCTATTTTAGAGTTACATTGTTTGTGAGATATCTCAGAAAATCAGTATTATTTGGTCATTTATTAAAAATCATTTAAAATCAAAGATGCTCATTTTTCTACAAAGTTGTAAACAAGTATGTCGTAATGTCATGCTGATTTACTTTAATGTTTCATCAATTGTAATTTACATCTAGGTTAAATATTTAAATGATGTCGTATGTAAATTACGTCCTGGTCTGCCGGTATTGGCACTTTACGGTTCGTTAAATCAGTTGAAACGAATGTCTGTTTATGATACATTTTGTCGAAAACAATATGCATGTTTATTTGCAACAGATATTGCGGCAAGAGGCTTAGGTATTTAGAGTTTAATGTTTAGCATGGGCATAGTAATCCATGTGTCATATTTTTCGCTATAGATTTTCCTGCTGTGGATTGGGTTATTCAATATGATTGTCCACCGGATGCAAACACCTATATTCATCGTGTTGGTCGAACAGCTAGGTAAATCAGTTGTGCTTGTTGGATTAACTTTTACTTATGATTCTGTTTATCATCAACAGATTTGAAAAAGGTGGTGAAGCCTTGTTGTTATTAACTGAACGAGAAGAGCGTGGTATGATAAAACAACTTGAAGATAAAAAAGTACCGCTAAATAAAATTGAGTAGGTGTTTTAAATTGTCTTAAAGTTATATTTTATTTGCTGTATATTATATGTGTTTGTAGAGTAAATCCAAATTATATTCATGATTTAACTCCAAAACTTCAAGCTTTATGTGCACAATATCAAGAATTGAAAGAGGAAGCAAAAAGGGTCTGTTCTAATGTTTGTTGTCCATGAAATAAATAGAAATTTGATGATTATTTCTTTTTCTAGGCGTTTACCTCCTATTTACGTTCACTTGTTCTTATGGGTAACAGACGAGTGTTTGACGTTCATTCTCTTAATACCGATCAATTAGCCTTGTAAGTTTCAGCAAGATATCGCATATATTATACGAAATTCATACACCGGTAGAGAGTTGAATTTGCTGTGAGGGGAATTTGCAAGTCTCTATACTTTCGTTTTTGTTTCGTTTAACAAGAGGTTTTTCTCTTTTAGATCTCTTGGTCTTGTAACAACACCAAAAGTTCGATTTTTGAAAAAACGGTTGGCTCAACAAGAGAAGAAACAAGAGAAGTTAACTACGTCACAAGATAATGATCATCCAATGCCAGTGAATCAACGGAGAACTGCCGCTGAACAAATATCGCTGATTGAATTCAATGCTGATGAAGGCAATGATGAATTATTTACGATCAAACGAACAGAAAAATATGACGATACTCCCCATATAGTGAGTCGTTTTTAATATTATATTATAGAATTAAATCTGCTCTGTCGATTATAGAATACACTGATTTATATTGTACACCTGGTTGAATGACTCAGCTTATCATCATTTATTTTGTTGTTCTTTCAGAATTCCGCGCAGCTCGATAAATCTAATGATATTGTTGCTCGACCTAAACGAGATCGATTATCAAAAGTAAAATTGGCAAAAAAATTAAAAAAGAAAAACTTATTAATTAACAGTCGTGTGCAATATGACGATGACGGAAATGTAAGTAAAAGTATCTTTAAAAATTATATTTTTTGTACAAATTTTTTGTTTGTCACAGCCAATCAATCAGTCTGTCAACGAAAGTAATATGGAATTAGAACGAGGGCAAAGCGACGACGAAATATATAATGTTGAAAAAGCCAAAGAACGTTTAAGAAAAATTGATGAGATGGATAAAGAACTTTATCGTGAACATGTCAAGCAAAAACATCAGGTACTATTGCAATTTAGATGAAATTATAAATATTTTATTGGCGCTCCATTTCTAGGTACGACGTATAAAAGAAAAAGAAGTAAAACGTCAAAAACAACAACGCGATAAACAAAATGAAAGTTCAAGTGCTACTGATGAAGAAGATACTCATGATACAATAAATATTGAGGTAAAAATTTTGATTCTTTTCATAACATTAATAAATTAGCGAGAACCAATTGTAAACTAGAGAAATAGTTCTCATCAGATCTATGTGTGTACACAAAAAAAGTTTAGATATCCACTTATTTTTCAAAATTAATTCCATTTGACTTGATTTCATTATAGAAGTATATCAGCTTAATAGTACATTCTAAATATATGTTTTTCTTTCGAATTATACAAATTTTCAAGCAGTTTCACGTTTTTTATGATATTCTTTAGGAGACTTCACTTGAAAACAACAAATATGAACAAGAGGAAAGCAACATTTCTGATGATATCGGTTTTCAACCTAAAAAAGTAGAAATAGACAATGACGATGGTGCTGAACGAGTGGTAACAAAGACAAAATTGAAAAGGTATTATTCTTACCAATTCATTCAATCACTTTTATAATATTGTTTATTACATTTATTTTAGAAAACATAATGAATTACTTTCCATTGATACACCGAAGAGTTTAGCAAATAAAAGGACTAAGAAATCGTTACGTAAAGTAGGAAATGATTCTACTACAATAAATGATGATGAACAATTAGCATTGTATTTCTTGTCGAAATAAAATAAAACACTTATCTTGTTGTTATGTTTAAATGTTGTTTTTTTATTTTGTAATGTTAAAGTAAAAGTAAATCGCTGATCGAAATCATGTACTAGTAAATTCTCAAATCTCATTTCGACTAATCTCAGCATGAATTTTTTAAGATAGAAATATTAACTTCCTCTTTATAGAAGAAGAGCCTCTCAGTAGTTATCGTACAAAATGTTAAAGTTGAAGTATATAATAACATCTCTACAAGAATTATATTTCTAGATGACCACTTCTAAACTGGATACTGGTTATGTTAAACTACAAGTGTGTTCAGTCGAGGATGATGATCCAGCGAGTGAGAGCGGTGATCGTCGTCAAAAAGTTGAATCATTTGAATCTGAATTAAAACAATCAGCAGGTGCTATGAATTTATCATTTATTATTCGCGACGAAGACCATACATTGGGCAATTCATTACGTTATGTTATTATGAAAAATCCTGAAGTTGATTTTTGTGGCTATACTGTACCTCATCCATCTGAAAATAAAATTAATTTTCGAATACAAACGAAGGGCAATGTTCCAGCTGTTGATGTATTTCGAAAAGGACTTGTTGATCTTAAACAAATGTGTTCGATTGTCATGGAAAAATATCAAGAAGCTGTTGAACAATATCAGCATGATCAAAAAATGGAAACAACTTGAGATTTTTTACATCTTATTTGTTACTATTATTTGTTTTGTTTAATGTTAAATGAGAATGAAAGTCTATATCTATGCACAAGGGGAGGTACGAAGGTGGAATGGTACTATTTTTTCCGATTATGGAGGATTGAAAGTTGGAAACCTATTATTATACGACTCTTCTAGATTTCTCTAAACCGCACATGTTAATGGTCAGGATCTTAGAACATTTACTCTAATTTTCAGAGTGTATTTTTCTTGGTTAAAGAAGATTTTCATCTTCATCAGTTAAAAGGCTTGCGAAATGTAGATGATAATGTTTGAGTAACCCCTTTGAATCATGTACTTTCAACATCAGGGCTGGGCGAGACTCGTACTCAAGTCCAAACTGGAAACTTTTTCGTAAGACCCGGACCCGAACTTGAGCTTTTGTGTTTCGAATCCGATCAATTCAAGTTCTTATATAAATCAGCAGGAAAATTTTTAGTTTTTCAATATATGCAATAGAAGTTTACTTCTGTAACTTTTTCTGTTATAATGAGATTAATGTATTGTATGGCATAGAAGAAACTATAAATAACGACAGCCAAAAAGGTTTGAAAAAATTATCAGACGAAAAATGGACTCGGTACCCCTTCCCTCTGTTTAAGCACGATATTTCTCTTGAAAAATACAAATAAATATTTGATATATTTCAATTACATTATTTTAATATCTGACGATTTGTTTCTTTACAAACAAAATAAAAGACTAGACAAAAAAGGAAAACGATATAAAGTGGTAGAGATTATGAAGAAAACATGAAAACTAACTAACAAAAGCATCGACATCTTATTAACAGCAGAAATGTATCTAAACGTTAACCAAATCTTTTTCAATCAATATATTATCACAGCCAGCAACAGGACATCTGAAATATAACAACCAAGAAACGATATTTTGCTAAAAGATTAAAAGAAGAAAGAATACTCTAAAATGCCTATACGTACTGTGCTTTTCGTCTTGATTTTTGTTTATCACTAATATATTGTAATACAGCTTCTTTTTCATAGCGATGTTTACATTTTTTATTTTGAACTGCTTCATGAAATGTTTTCTGAGTCAATGGACATTTTGAGCTTGTAACTTGGTCAATAACAGCCGTATCAGCACTTGAACCATCTTTAAAATAAACAACAGGTATTAAGAAAGAAGTTCACCTTGTCAGAATACTATTTCTTATACGATATATTTAAGTGAATGAAAGCTAACGGACAAAATATAACTGATGATGTAACTTAGTTATGATAAAAAAAATTGCAACTTGAAATATGAAGTTTTTCACAAACTATACGTGTCGCAATTGTCAAAATAGTACTATCAATACGGTACATTTTCGCATATTAGATGATAGCTACACAGTCATGGCTAGATTCGAATGAATTAAGCCGATTTTTCAGTATTTTTCTATTTCATTTTCAGTAACTATTTTAGTAAATTAGAAGTCCACATTAGTTTTTTTTGTTCATCGATGAAATGCATTTTTGTATAAAATGAAGATTAGTCTGAGAAAAACTGTTCGCTCACATTTTTGATTTGTGCTTCAAGATCAAAAAGTTTACTGAATAAAGCTGTTGGTGAGAAAAAAGGTTTTGAAAAAATCATATTCAGTCACAAACAACAACAATAACTATGCTAACTGTCTACGACACGCTAGTCGATAAAGTTAGATACGCCGGATATTGAGAATTGTACCAACTCGTTCATCGTTTGTGACGATAAAATATAAAAAGTACAAGCCTTATGAAGGACCGTATATCATTCAGCACATTGTGAGATGTCATTTTTCAATGAACATCGAAAATTACGACTGTTACAGACAGTCCAACAACTTAAGCTTAACATTCGAAATATTCATTAATGTTCATAAACGTGACTATGTTTTTTTCTCTGCTAATGTTCCTCTCACACTGTAGTAAAATTCTCCATCATAAAATAGGAAAATGAAGCGTTAAGGGCCCCCTCCCTCAGGAATGATGATTTTTCGGTCAAAAAATCGGTTTTGAGATACGCACATGGAAAGATAGCCTGAAGTGTCTACTTTCAGAATCTGTATTGCTTTTGGTTACAAAACTGTTTTTTCAGGGATTTTGAACAAGTTTTCTAAGAGTCTTCAAAGAATAGTTTTTTTCCTGGACACTTATGCAATTAAAATTTTTCTAAACACACAGCTTTGTAGAGCAAACGTTTCTGATCAAAATAAGACCTCGCACAACTCTGTTTGACCTTGCATCAAAAAGCTACAGGCATTTTCCTAGAAGTCCTAAAATCCAGTATTTCATACAGCGTTTAATACACCTTTTTCTCTATGTAAGAGTTACACCTAAAGTGCGTCCCAAGATTTTTAATAGCGGTTTGTCGTAGAGACTTCATTCTTTTTTTGTTTAAAAGAGGCAAAGAAACTACATCGACTGACCGGCGCCGATTTTTGAATTAGCTCTCAGTTTTTGGTCAAACTGAGGAGTTTTAGAAAATTTAGAAGGCTTTTTCGGGTTTGGAGGTTGTTTGTTTCCTGGAAAACCAATAAAGGCTTAATTGAAAAATCGGCGCCGGTCAGTCCATCACTTCAGGGTCCTTTTTAGACCTTGATCTCTGGAAACCTCGTAAATCGTAAGACTTGGAGACAAAAAAAATTTTTAATTCCCGTAGCTCATTGTGCCTAACATTTATGGAAAGTTTCGTCAAGATCGGATGTACGGTGTCGGAGATAATTTCTAAGGGAGGGCGGGGCCCTTAATACGAATTCTTGCATACTACCTCATAATATTGAGAAGTATAGAAATTATCTTTAAAATCTTGAATGGAGAATCTTTGAGAGCTGACTTTTCTGACAGAAGATTTCTTGATGAAAATTGAACATTTTTAAAACCAATTTCATACGTTTCATATTTTCAATGCATTCACCAAATTCTTGGTATCGATTATCAGCTTCAAGATCAAACATGGGCGTATTCGTATCAACTGTTTTCACCAAGATCTTTTGAAATTTTTCATATAATTTTTCTATTATATCCATTTTTAATTCGCTATCATCTATCTCTTCTTCCTCATCTTCTTCATCAGCAGCACGACGGGTCGACTAAGCGTAAACATTCTAGCGATAGAAAATAATTGGTAAGCGAATTCTTCTGTTACCTTTTTTAAGTTTCTTCTTGCTTCTTTCAAACATGTACGCGCTTTTTCTTCAGAGTCGTTAAAACGTATGGCAATATTTAATAACTCTTGAACATATTTTTGTTGTTCTAAATATGAGAGAGAAAAAGATAAAAGTTTAGATCATGTTCGACTTTTTTTTTACCTGCACTTTCTTGCATCTCTTGGGCAATGTTTGTTAAGCCGGTTATATGACTCTCAACAAGGGGAAACAAATCTTCCCACAGGCATAAACTTTGGTCAATTTCAACGTAATTAAGAGTCATCTAAAAGCATCATTGAAAATGCACTGTGGAGCTGTATTATTGAACTAGTCAGATATACTTGAACTACAAACAATCCTAGAGTTTGAGTCTTAACTGTTATTGCCTTACATTAGGCAATAAGAATCGACCAAACTTTTTCGTTTTTATTTCTGTATAGATCGGATTCAGTATAGTATAGACATCTAATGGAAAATCGTAAATTACGGTTGATTACGATTCGCAATCGATCGCTCAACACGTTTTCACTCTTAGTTATAGACAGAGAACCGTGCTTAAACGAGCGCGTCTATAATCATAAACGCAAAACATGGAAAATGGTTGACAGATGGATGTTCCCAGAATAAGCAAATCAAAATAGAGAAGGAATAAAAGATAAATATGATTGTAGTTATGTAGTACCACATAGTTAAATGTTACTGTTGAATATCCAGAGATCGTCTGGCTATAATAAAAAGGCTAAATTCTATAGAGGGGGCAGCTTTACGATTTAAAAGTGATAGATCAACTGATTTAACTGCTGCCACATTCTAGAGACATGGTTTTGGCAGAAATAAGTACATTTAGTAGTGCGTTGTACTGGAGTTTGTCGACCACGTACATTGCGAGACCTGAGAATAAATAATGTACTTTACCAACTGCATATCCGGGCAAATTCATCTGAAATGTCCCACATTTTATAAAAGTTTTTCCGTTTCATTTAAAATCAATCTAGTTCTATAGAGCTCATCAAGTTACATAAGAAACTGTCTTTTCTGACTCCATAGCTAATGTAGAAGCCGAGAAAAGTGACTTTTACTCTCCCAACCAAATTATCGGATTCAGCGCCACTTTCAATGCAAGTTCATGCATACTGCGCTACAACACGTTCTCCCTTTTTCAGCAAAGTCCCTAGGATTTTTATCAAAGAGTAAGACATGAACTATATTCCCTAAACTTCGAAGAATGCTTTATGTAAGGTTCATGAGATATTGAACTTTTTCATCTCTCATGACCACCGTACAAAATTGTTACTAATCAGGGCGAAGAATCTTGAAATATGATCTTGCACGTTCATACAAGATCTTATAAGATCATATTATAAGATACCACAAGATTTCACAAGATCTTACAAGATCATATGAAAATCTTACAAGAATCTTATAAGATTTCACAAGATTTGTCTTACAGCAAGATCTTGTGATAAGATCTTGAAAGATTTTATAAGATCATATAAGATTATGTCTCTGATTCTGTACTATAGCTCCCCTACAGACTCTCTTTAAAAAACAGCTTTTTTCTTTTCATAATATTTTCGAGCATAGGAAGAACCCTGACGTCCTTAGTAACGTGTCTAACCACGTTTCTTGTAGCCATGCACTTTATTTGTGCTCAGCTGATGTGCGCAGTTGGAGAAAGAAAAAATTCCAAGTTCCATCATAAGAACTATGTTTTATATATACTATATATCGTTGCAAAATTTATGTGGTAAGAATGAGTCATCGCTTCTTGTAAGATCTTATAAGATCTTGTAACAAGAAACCGTATGATCTTGTGATAAGAACTGACAAGATCTTGCAAGATCATATAACTTCTTGTTACAAGATCTTATAAGATCTTAAAATTTCTTATAAGCTGATCTTGTAAGATCTTACAACAAGAAGTTACAAGATCTTACAAGTTCTTGCCAAAAGATCTTGCAGCAAGATTGCATAAGAAATCGTCAGATCCTATAAGATCTTGTAAGACGTCTTTCCTCTGGATATACGTCAGAAAAAGAACAATTCGAAATGGGCAGTTAGCTGCTAATGTTCGTGGCACCATCGTAACGGTGGCCTCAGCCAGTGGCGGCGGAACGATTGCAGTCTAGGGGAGGCTCAAAATCTTTTTTGCTCACCATATGTAATCTAAAGATAAGATCTATGATATTTTCTAAAATATTTGAGCCTCCCCAAGCCTTCCTCTTCCTTTTCTAGGGGAGGCTTAGGCCTCCCTTAGTCTAATGGATCCGCCGCCACTGGCCTCAGCTACCATGTAAAAGTTTGGAAAACCCTCTTTTTATGGTCATAATCGAACTGAGAATGTACGAAAACCTATAGGTAGTTGTTTTCCAAATTTAAAATACTAACCCTAGTGAAGCTTTTTTTCTCAAGCACATGAGTAAGCATATACCTCAAGATTTGTCTCCATGCACATGAATTTCTTACTCATGCAAAACGCTTGAGGTATGTGCTTGACTTTCTTGTCTCATGCGCTTGAGTTGCATGAAGTATGCGCATGAGGGGAGAAATATCT